GCAGGGGGCGCCCCCAGCCAGGATGCTGCGGTTCCTGCGCCGGACCTTTGGCCGCCGCTCCATGCAGCGCTACGCGCGGGGCGCGGCGGGGCGCGGGGCCGCCGGGCTGGGGGACGAGCGTGACGGGGGGCCGCGGGGGGGCCCGGCCGCCGTCGCCGCCGCCGCCGCCTCCTCCTCCTCCTCCTCGACGCTGCCCGCCGCGCCGGGGGGCAGCGTGTTCCCGGCCGGCGGCGGGCCCCTGCTCACGGGCGGCGCGGCCGTGCACATCGCCGCCGCCGGCGCTGCCAAGGCCACCCTGTCCTGCCGCGTCTTCCTGCTCGACGGGACCGAAGTGAGCGTGGACCTGCCGGTGAGTGACGGGGCCGGTCCGTGGCACTGGCACCCCTTGGGACGGCTCCCCTCCTCCAGTGTTCCTCTCTGGGCGCCCCTCTTGTACCTCTTCGGGGATCCCTTCTTCCTTCTCCTGCGAGCACTCCCTATCCCTGCTTCCTTCTCGGGCCACTCCGTCCCGGTCTCTTCTGGAACCCTTTCTGTGGCCCCGTGCCCCCCTTCTTGGGACATTGCGCTGCTGCGTCGCGCCTTCTCCGGCTCCCACCTCGTCCTTCGGGCCTTACTCCCTCCCCTGCTCACCCAGTCCCCTCTTCCCGAGTCCCCGCCCCCTGGCGCGAGTGACCGGTGTTCCCCTTCCGCCCCCCAGGTTCCAGCGGGGGCCTTCTTGATGCTGGGCTATTGGTTAGAAAATCTCAAAGCAATGCGGGGCTGCCCCCAGGGTGGCTTGCTTGCCCCCACAAAGTCGCCACCAGGCCTTGTCGAGATGGTGGGGAGGAGAAGCCCCCTGGCCTGCTGCCCAGCAGGTGCCCCAAGTTTGGGAGGGAATCTGGGGACCATTTCTCTCCCGACCTCCTTGATGCCTGCCCCCGCCCCTTTCTCATCCCAAGGAGCCCCTACAGCTCTCAGCCTCCCAAGGGTTTGGGTGACTTGGGAGCTAACTCTAGAATCGACTCTCTTGGACCTGGCCAACTTTGCACCGGCAGAGACCTTTGCTGGGGCGCTGGGAGTCGGCCCTGGGGCGCCCACTGGGCCTAGTGCGCCGGACTCCCCCCCCTCCCCGCCCCCAACCTGGGGCAACGTGCATGCGGCGGCCAAGGGACCCCCGGGCGGCGGCGCCGGCTGCGGGGCCACCCGCCCACAGGTGGTTGCACCCCGCCCCCCTCCGGCAGTGAGCTAGGCTGGGCTGTTGGCCCCGCCAGGGCGTCCAGCTTTCTAGCCCGAAGGGGCCAGATGTGATCAAATCAAATCCGCACATTAATGGGCGCCTACTGGGCACCCGGCGCTGCGGCAGACGGTGCCTTTGGGAATCTTTGGGTGTGACTGAGGACACAGCGCCGATCAAGCTTTTAGACGAATGTCACAGATCATTACGAGGGTTTCACGCGGAAAAAAAAAAAAGAACATACCTAGACTTCCAAAGGAAACATGTAGGCCTTCCCGGGTGGGGGAAATTCTTTAGACTTGGCGAGGGAACTAGGAACCTGTAAGGCTTTTAAATGGGAAAATCAGAGCCTGCTTGGCCTGGACTTTAATGCTGCCTTAGGTTTAATTTTGACAGTTTCAATTTATGGCAGTTTTATTTTTGTGCCTCCTAGTGCTCTCCATAGAGTATCATTTTGTTATGATAATACCCTTTTGGGGCCTTTCTATTCACGGAAAAGGAGCCAACGTTCCTGTGCTTAGATCTGTTGTCTTTAAAATAGCATTAAAATGTTACTCCTCCCCACCACTGAGGCTCTCCAGCTCCTCTTCAGCTGGGAGGGGAGGCCCCAAGAGCCAGGAGGATTGGAGAGGTGGGCAGCTGGTGTGTGGAGAGGATGTGGCGTATTTTGCATCTCGGATCAGGGAGAGGAATGCTCTCCCTGAGAACTTTGATGGTGCTCTTTGAGGATTTTCTTGTCTGTTCCCCAGGGATGATTCGTTTATAAAATGTGTTGCTTCTGTCAGGTTTGTGCGACAGGCTTAAGTGGTGTTTCTCAGATGAAAAACGCAAACTGAGTCAAGTGCATGCGTGGTGGATAAACCCAGACAGGTATACCAACGGACGGTTGGGATGGGGCTGGAATGCTGACTTCTGCTGGCTGGTGGAGCCCTCACCGAGCGTGGGGGAGGGGGATATTTTACATCGATACAAAAGGTTGCTTGACAAAAGATTTCCCTGGGTGTTTTCTTTTCCCCCCGGGTTTTCTTAATGATGGCAGATTTCTTGATGCTTTACGTTGTGATAGAGCGAACCCCAAATTTTATTTATACAGACACACGCATATGTATAGCCACCCTGTCCAAAGACAAAATGCAGGCTTTTGTCATGTGAGCCCTCAGGGAGGAATGATCGAGAAAAATCACCAGTGAGCACGGCTCATCGATTTAAAGATTTATTAGCTATCAGAGCTGCGTCACACAGTCTCCTCTGCTAGTCTTCCCAGATCAGTTTTAGTTCCTGTAATTAATTCTCAGAGTACGAGGTTAGCGCCAGGCGGCCAGCTCCCAGTGAATTTGTACATGAATTTGTAGCACGCACACTCCTTCCCAAGGCGCCTTTCCCCCGGCTCACTTTTTATGCTATCCCATTGGGCAGTTAGCCGCACTTGTCTGGGTTCTCCTCTTCTGCTTTCCTGGATTTTTACCACTTCCTGGACTCTGGTGTTGCATTGCTGCCTGCCACACAGATAGGATTTACCTTTGGCTGCCATACCCCTAAGCTGGATTTTCTGTCCCCTGTCACTTGCACAGGCACCCCGTGCACTTGCCAGGCTAACTATGGCTCCTTTGTAATTAAAACCCTCTGGTGGTGTTAGCTTCAAGAATTCCTCTGCTCTGCATCCTCACGGTGGTGATGCATTGCCCTAAGCCATTTGATTAGCCCGGATCTGGTTTCAGATCACAGGGTCAGAAATGGACTAGGCCACAGCAGCACTTTCGGTGTGACCATGCCGGGGCGCCTCTGTCTGCGGTCAGCATTTATCGGGCGTCTCGAGTGTGCCACGCACCGTGCTGTGCACGCAAAGGTGGACGAGAGGTGGCCTGGAGGCTCCTGGGAAACACAGGTGGAAACACGGCGTTTTATTCTAAGCAGTGCTAAGTGATGTGAGGGGGGCTCACCCAGACAGGGTGCCGGTGGATGGGTGGGTTCTGGGTGCTTCCTGGACACTCTGACACTTGAGGTGGTAGGATCTCAAATCCATGTTCCTTGTGCATTTTTAGAATACTTACTGTGTCAAGTCCACTCCTGGGCTAAGCCATGGCCCGTGGTTTTATATACATAATAAAGGAAGAAGCACCTGTAATGGTCTTCAGCAGTCCTCTGACAGGGCCTGGAGCCCCCTTGTCTGCTGGTGGGCTGCATCCCCTAGCATGCCTGCCTGTTTGTAACCTTTGCCGTGGTTCCTCAACCTTTGATAGAATGGGAACAAAGGGTCTTTTAAAAAATCCCTCTATAACATGCAGTCTAAAATGGACTTGCTGTACAAACCCGGCTTCCAGGGGAATCCCTGGCTCACCCTACAGACCGGAGAGGCATGGGGAGCCGCTCCTTGTCAGAAAACCTGGCCTTGCTTTGGAAGGTGCTGCCTCGCTCTCCTTAGAGCAGCCTGGCCCTGCCCAGCCCTCAGGTGTGCTCTGGTCTGGGCGGGGCGGGACTCACTCGGCCTACCCGAGACACTTTCCTTCTATTAATGCCGCTGAAGATCCCATTAGTGTGCTTGGCAGTGGCACCCGCTGTTGACTCATATTAGCTCTCTGTTGACTAAATCCCTGGCATCGCTTTTGCTCGTGTGGCTGTTGCTCAGCCCCGTCTCCCCCTCCCCTGCATGCACAGTCTTCCAGCAGCTCGGTGCAGAAAGCTGTGAGGGTGTGTGTGTGTGACTGGCTGGGTAGCACTCCCGCCATGCCTTGGAGGGCACGGCCTGTGGGCCTGGAGTAGTGCCATTGGCGCAGTCGCTTTCCCTGGATCTGGAATTCAGCACTGACTCACTGTGCTCCCGTGCAAGCAGGGAGAGCTTCAGAAGGGCCGTGCTTGAGTCTTGCAGGCTGGCTGTGCAGCCTTGGGCAGCTCAGGCTCTCTGCGCATTGATCTTCTGGTCTTTCAAATGGGAGCATTTGTTGGGAGGATTATGTGACCAACAGTCTACAAAGTTTCAGTACACGGCAGGCCACTGAAGGGTTGCTGGTAGGTTGTAATCGTACCCACTTCTCACACCTCCTCTCTGGCCTACAGAAAGGGTTTGGAAGCATGTCTAGTAATGG